GTCCCTGGCAGTCAGCCCCTTCCCAATGTACCCACTACCGCACTAGTTCAGAAGATTGCTTCTCCCTCTGTAGTTCAGCCTCACTACACAGCCCAGGCTGACCTCCAACTCATGGCAACATTCCTGCCTCAGCCTCCCAAGCTGTTGGCACTACAGGCCTGCACCACCGCGCCTGGCTCTATTCGGAAGCCTTAAAATTTAGAACATGCGCGGAAAGCTTCTTCTGTTTTCCTCCATCCTCCCTTCCTGGCCCACGCGCATCTCCTGGCCTTGACACCCTAGCAGGAAGGGCGGAAAGGCGGGGTACCCAGAGGGACCCAGGCTGATGCCCCAGGGCAGAAGCAGTGGGAGGGTGGCTCGGGACAGGGCGCAGCGTCCTTGAAGCGGCCCCAGGTCTGCAGGCGCCCCCAGCGGGATCGCCTGTCCCCACCCTGAGTGCGGACTCCTAACCACACGGTGGGCCCTGGGTGGCGCCTGCTTTTCAGATCCAGCCCTGTCTTCCTCTGTCCCGGGGAAACCGAGCTGATTCCGCTGCGCCTGGGAACTTCTCCAGCGCTGCGCCACGAACCAGACCGGAAGGGCCTGGGGGTGACACTGTGGCGACCCAGAGGGCATTTGCCTGGGAGCCCCCTGAAAGGTGCAGCTCAGGCTGCCGGACCAAGGAGGGAGCGCAGTCTCCGTCTCTGATGAGAGTTTGGTTTTTTGCTTTTGTTTCGAAACAGGCTCTCGCTATGCGGCCCAGGCTGGCCTCGAACTCCTGGTGTCCTCCTGCCTCGGCTTCCTGAGTGCTGAGATTACAAACCAAGGGCCGCCGTGCCTGGCTCTACCATCGCCTCTTCCTATCCGCGTACCCGCATTCCCGGCTCCCCAGCTCCCATTCCGCGCTCCACCATTGACCCCAACCCCCAGCCCCTGCTTTCTTTTTCCTTTTAATTAAGTTCACTGGAGGGCCGGGGATTTGGCTCACTGGTTCCTCGGCCTGTCTCAGAAGCGCAGCTGCCGGAGTTCGATCCCCAGTACCTAAAAAACAAAAACAAGTTTATTGGTACATTTTAGGTATACGTTATGATCACATTCATCGTTGGGACTTTGTACCTGTACGTGAGAGGTCTTGGTTCTTATTTTTCCCATTCCCCTTCCCTCCCTTCAACCCCTTGTACTGAGCATGTAATCAATAGGTAGAAACTAATAGAATCAATAAGCAAAAAGTGCCCTGTGTGACTAGCAACCAACAGCTTAGCTGACAGCTGACGGTCTAGGACAGCAAGGCAGGTATTTCTTATCTCAAGCTGTCAGTTGCATTAGGTCATAGCTGTTAGCTAGCTAAGCTGTCAGCTAAGCTGTTGGCTGCTAGTCACACAGGGCACTTTTTGCTTATTGATTCTATTAGTTTCTACCTATTGATTACATGCTCAGTACACCCCTCCACTCCTATTTACATAAGCTTTGTTTTCTTTTTTCTTTCTTTTTCATTCTCTCTCTCTCTCTCTCTCTCTCAGACCGGGACACGCAGGCAGTGGAACCACTGAGCTAAATCCCCGGCCCTTTCTTTCCCTTCTTTCCTTTCCCCTGCCCCCCACAGTTCCCCTGCCCCTTTGAACATTTTCTTCCTGTTTCACAGTATCTCTTATACATTTTGGTCCTCATTTACACTTTTGGTTCTTACATCAGAGAAATAATTTGGTAAGTACACGTGTCCTATTTATTTCACCGAAGAGTACGGCCTCAAGGTACTTCACTCTCAGCCTCTGGTCTTTGACAAAGGAGCCAGCCACCCTCCCCGGAGGAAAGAGAGCCTCTTTAACAAATGGTGCTGGAAACACTGGGTCTCAACCTGCCAGAGATTAAGTCTAGACCCAAATCTCTCACCAACATCAAACTAAAATCAAATGGGTCCAAGGTCTAAATATTCAAACAGAAACACTAAACCAGCTAGAAGAGAGGTTAGGTAGAACTTTTGAAGACACTGGCATAGGAAAAGACTTTATGAACAAAATCTCAGTTGCCAGGAACTAGCACAAAGAACCAATAAGAATCAATAATAAGAATCCCATCTTATTAAAAAGCTTCTCAGAACAAAACCAAACCTTCTGCACAACAAGAGAAACCACCAACAGTGGAGAAACAACCCATAGTGTAGGAAAAAATTTTTACCACCTATTCCTTAAAGAATTACTATCTAGGGCTGGGGATTTAGCTCAGTGGTTCCACTGTCAGCCTCACAAAGTGCAAGGGTTTGATCCCTGCTACCAAAAAACAAACAAATAAACCCAAATACTATGTAGACTATAAAAAAAAGTTTAAAAAAATCAGACACCCCCCCCAAGCCATGAGAGGTGGTGCATATCTGTAATCCCAGGACTCGAGAGGCTGAGGCAGGAGGATCCCTATGAGTTCAAGACCAGCCTGGGCTACATGGTGAGTTCCAGGGCAGTCTCAGCTACATAGTGAGACCCTGTCTCAAAACAAAAACAAAAACAAGAACAACACAAACGACCCTCAAATACAAAAATGGGTGTCTGAAATAGACATTTCTCAGATGGAGAAGCAGCAAATAAATATGAATAAATGTGCAACGTGAGAGATGCAAATTAAAACAACGCTGATGTTTCATCTCCAGAGAGAATGGCTGCCATCAAGCAATCAGCCAATACCAAATGCTGGTGGGGCTGTGGAGGGAAAGGAGCCCTCTCCACTCTGGGTGGGAGTGCAGACCGGTGTAACCACTGCGGAAATAAGTGTGGAGACTCCTCAAAAACACTGGGATTAGAGGTTCCATCTGACCCAGCTATTCCCCATCTTAAGTCTCTTCCCAAATGAGTGAAAAGCATCAGACCACAGCGATATCGTCCATGTTCACAGCTGCAGCTTGGAATAGCTAAATCTTTTTTTTAAACCAGAGATCGAACTCAGGACCTTGCGCTTTTGAGGCAGGTGGCGGCATCACTGAGTTAAATCCCTAGCCCTGTAATAACCAGATCTTGGAAATAGCCCAAATGCCCATCAACTCGTGATTGGATAAAGATGTGGGTTTTTTTTTAATAAATGGAGTACTACTCACCCATAAAGAAAGATTAACTGGAGACATTTATAGCTAAATGCCTTATTTTTCTTATTACCAACTCACTTATCAATTTTACGCCATTTTTTTTTTTTTTTTTTTTGGTATCAGGGATCAAACTCAGGACTTTGAGCTTTGGAGGCAGGCAGCAGAACCACTGAGCTAAATCCCCGGCCCCTCCGTTTTACCCATTTATTGGTACATTGTCTAGCAGAGAAATGCACACACATCGCACACAGATCTTGAGAGAAAGGGTTTTATTTGCTCTATAGTTGTAGCAGCCAGAAAAGTGCCTGGTACTTAGTAAGCACTCAATAAATGTTTATACAGCGATTAAAATATGGTTTGATTGATAAATACACTTCAGTAATTGTTTATGTGAAATAGGTGTTCCATAGCCAGTTGTAGGTCTCGCGTGTAATCCTAAATCCTCTGGGAGGCTGAGGCAGGAGGATGCTAAATTCAGGCCCAGCCTGGATAATTTAGATCCTGTCTCAAAAAAAAAAAAAAAATCCCAACAAAATTTTAAAAAACTATTGAGTAGCCCAGCGTGGTGGTGCACGCCTGTAATCCCAGCACTCGGGAGGCTGAGGCAGGAGGATCCCTGTGAGTTCCAGACCAGCCTGGGCTACATAGCGAGTTCCAGGTCAGTCTCAACTACATAGTGAGACCCTGTCTCAAAAAACAAAACAAAACAAAAAAGTATTGAGTATGGACCATGTCGAAAAAGTAACACAGAGTCCGCACCGAGGAGAGAAGTTTGTCTCCTCCCCGTCTAGCCGGCCGAGAGATCTTCCGGACCCGTGGGCGGCAGCGGTTCCTGAGGCTGGTCCTCGCCTGCGCCTGCGGCCGCTCGCGGTGCCCTCGCTGGGGCCGGCTGAAAGGAGAGCGTGCGCTGCAAACTCAGGCCCAGGACACCCGGTGCAGCCAAAGCCCCGCTGGGGTCTCCGGCTCCTGGGACCTGCAGGGAGCGGGTCAGACGCGTCCCCACAGAGCGGCTCCACGGGGCTGTCCCCACCGCTCTCGGTGCCGAACCTGCCCCAAGACCCGACCCGGGGGACCGCCGACACCTCTGTCCTGACCATACCCGGGTCCAGCGACGAAACTGGGCTTCCCCTGTCTGCAACACGGATGCCGAGGAAAGCCTCAGGCTGGAGCG